ATAACAAGAATTGGCTTGATGCTTCAATTTCCTTTAATGCACCACCAGCACCAACACAAAAAAGAGGTCGGCATGATCTCCCATTTGATGAGTGTACAGAAAAAACTAAAGGAAAGAAATGTAAAGATATAAGAGATAATACACCATTGTCTATTTTGGCGCACGCGACTTTGCGTACTTTTCTACTACCATTTTCGCACCAAGAGATTTCATTCTTCCCCTTTCTCCGTCCTTCGTAAATGCAACCTTTTGTAAGGGAGTGTCAAACCGCAGCTGTCAATAATTATCTAACCTTGTATTATTGAATTATGGACGCGCTATAAATACATACATACATGCATACGAGACAATAAATTACCCTTAACCACATTCGTCGTGATTTCAGCAACAAGTCAAATGGCTTTCGGCAACAAGTCAGATGATTCTCAGCAACAAGTGAAACGACTTCTGCAACAAATGATGAGCTCTCATGCTTTCGGAACCGTTCAACCAGTGATCGGACTACTACCACATTGTGGTAGATCTGCCACTTTTTTGGGCATCTACCATACAAGGTCTGAAATCTACCACATATTCGCGTTTTTGAGTACCTAGTTTTATTTTTGCTCGACATAATTTTCTTAATTTTAAGAGCAAAAATTGTCCAACACTAAACACTATATGGTAACAAAAATGATATAATACAAGATTCCGCATTCGCCGCGGCGATGTATTTTGTCAAGTAAAAGTAAACAAAGCCGAATGGGAGGATAAAATAAACTGAAAAATAGTAAATTTTCTCAATAATAAATTTTTCGACAGGAAACGTGGTTTTATTACTTAAATTGAAAAGTATACGATTTATAAAAAGAATTAATAGCGAAAATGTTAAAAAAACTGCGATTTTTGTGAAAGTATTAGCAACTTTCAGTGCATTAAAGTTTCTGAGGAGTTGTTTACTTTTGAGAAATGTCAAAATCAGCAAGTCCCAAGTAGCGGTTTCTGCAACGTGCCACATTTGTTCGCTACATCCTGATGTGATAAAAGCTTGCGGCACTTTTTGCAGCAGTTTTTTTTTAATTTTTGTAGTTTGATCCAAAACCTGAAATCTACCACATTTTTTTGAAATCTACCACATTTTGTCCCAGATTCTACCACAAAGAATTTTTTAAGTCCGATCACTGCGTTCAACTGCCGCGTTTGCTAGTTTCGTGCACGATCATTCGGAGTACAGGTTTGCCGAAGTCAATGGGCGCGTTTATAAGACGTAGCTGTTGCCCAACCGTTGGCTATTAGTCTTAGAAACGCACAATGGAGTAGTTCCGCTCAGCTCAACAGTTGGCAACTTTTTGCCATTTTTGCCAGCGGAAAATGTTTACGGTACCTGAACTCACCGTGTTGGGCTTAGCCTAAACAGCTGATCGAAAAGACTTACGCCGCTTATATTAAATTTAACGCCGCTTCGTTAGGTGGCAGTTGCAAACAAATTTACTATATTTTATATTACTAATGTGATAAAATAACTAGAGTACTTTATAATAATACTACGTTTCTAAATATATGTTTTTAGGATGTTTGCTGTATAATTTTACACTGTTTAATTCATTGTAACATTGAACGATTTTTCAACACGGCG